TCAACTCAATCGGATGGTAATATTCGCATACAAGAATCTCATCGTAATTCATACGATTGTTTTGTTACGGTAACGAATATTCAATTAAAATATCTTTTATTCTTCAGTGATTTTAATATATAAAATATTAGCTTACAAAACATCTTTTATTAATCAGTTCATTAAATCTTAATTCCGAAGTTGTACTAAGAACTAATTCATTACTATAAAAATTGAGGAACTTTTAAACAATTTTCTAACATTTTAATCGATTACATGTAATCTAAAAATAAAGTAACTGATATAATAATACACTGTATTCTTCTCAATAAAATATTAACATCGAATATTATTGTTATGCACTTTTTCCGATGCATTTCCCACTTAACCGCGATGGAAATATATTCTAGCAACGCTATACAGGTGAAATATCAAAGAACGGAAATCCTATCGACATCGGCGTACCTTTGCCAACGAAAACATTGATGACTGCAAAATTTAATGGAATGAAGGTGTCTTGTTTATATGCATTAGGCTTGCATAAAAATTTGCAACGGCGACGAAAATAACGCGCGGCAGCCTTGATACTCTCCGTGAAATTCGTCGGTGAAAAGAGGACGACTACAACTATTTTGGTGAGTCTCTTTTTGCGTCACACAACGAGAAAAACGCGACGTCAAATGGAAACTAAAGGGTGCTGGGGTAACCGTTTCTAATTTTGTTCGAATAAATTTAAAACCTTTATTACTCTATCCAGAAAAAAAGCCTGACTAACATACTACTATCTCGACGTTCATTTCTCACATGAGACTACCTTATCAAATTCCAATTTCTTATTCATAAATGTTGCAAATACCAGCAAAATAATTATTAACAAAAACACTATATCAGTCAAACAAACCGGAATATTGTTTACTCAAAGATAAACAAGCAAATTCCTTTAAATCGTAATTTCATTAGAACAAAATTTTCAAATATTATAAATAAATTCTTTCAATCCTTTCTAGAACTACATATATTTACAGTGCTGTTTTAAACGACTCCAGAAGGATTTCACAATGAAACAGAGCCACGGCTTTCATCTCCATTCATAAAAACCGTAATCGGGCGTAGTAATCCGCGCGATACGTAACGTATATGTTGCTACGAAGAATGAAATCGAATCCGCGGGTTAATCCGTTGGTAGATGGCCGCACGTTAATCATGGATGTGGTTGAGATTGAGGTAGGGTAGCTGGAGATTCTGAATGGCCGTATTTTTCCTGGCAGCTGCTTCGCCTTGATTTACTTTTTCGTTTACGTACGTCAGGCGACGACGCGACGCGACGACACGCTGAGGAGGGAGGAAAGAATGAAAGAAAGTTGGTGGCTGTTCGCGATTGCTCGTGCTTCCTCGCCGTTTCCCGACGCCATGTTTAAACGCAGGAAATTCGCTGTCGAAACCGTGACCCTGTTTACCAACGAAAAACCATCGCGGCGCGATTCAACGGTCAGATTAAGCCCGGTTAATCAACCGTACACGCGATAATTCATGCGTCGTTTGAATGAAGGCATCGAGGACGGTAAAAGTGACGTCACGCTCCTATTAAAATTCACCATATTTCGCTGGCTTGCCGATTCGATTATGCAAAAACGTTTGCGTGCGCCGGTTTTCTCAGTATTGACGCGCTTTTCCCGTTCGTTCTTTTGCCTTGACATTTCCTAAATATTCCTATTGTAATGCGAGTGATCCTTGTGACGAAGAATATTTATAAATTACGTGATTTAAAAAATGAGTTTTAATCCCTTGTCTTATAGTATTGCGCCAGAGTCGCGAAGATTTCGAACAGAAATTAACAAACATAAATATTACTGGATTGCTTTGAATTCAAATTAAATGTTATTTATTTATTATTAATTATTATACTTTAGGGCGAATGTAAACGTAGGGTGTGTCTAGATTTTTTCCTCGTTTTTTAATACATTATTTGAATTGATTATAGTTGAAAACGAAATCATAGAGCAGATCATTGGTGCTAGATATTACATTGTCGTCTTTCGTGTTGAAAATATTTTTTACATGACGATACACTTATGTTTTCGTACTGCAGAAGGTTTTGATTTCAAGAAGTATAGAGGTTGGATTGTACGTTGAAAAAAATAACTACATTTACGTACGTTGTTTGTATAGTTTATTGTATTGTTTCCGGGAAAATAGGATACTAAATGCAGATGTTCGAAAGTAGAGGTTCGAAGACGATGATGGGAGAACGATGAACTAAAATATAAAAATATAATGTTACATTAATTGCTACAAAAATTGCTGAAAAATTATAATTATGGGAATCCACATAATTGGTGTGTTCCGTTAATCTAGTGTAAATAAAATTGCTTCATCACTTCTTTACGTAGTCAGTATAATACGTAATTAACTATAAAATCTTTATTGGCGCATATATTTTAGTGATTCTTCCCATTCTCAGAATTGTTATGCATGTAAATGTACATTTTTCAGCAATTAAAATTGATCTTTTTACTGGGAAAGATTTAATTTAAAGAAAAAAGGATAAAAAATTAGAATATAGGCTGTAACAAGCAAACTAATTAATTATTTCAAAATATACTTTAAAATATACGTCCTTCTTCAAAAATTGAAAAATCATTTGTTATTATTTAAATTGGTTTAAGTTATTATGTCTTTTACTATTCATGACTTTAATATATTTTCTGAAAATGAGAAAATTCCTACCATAAAATGAAACCTCTTACAGTATACTATATTTAAACATGAAACTAAAATAATGCAATAACATGACTTTTTTCATGGCATTGAATAACCAATGCTGAATATACAATTATGTGGGTCAAGCATATGCGATAGAACTCATTATCCAGTTTCAAAGATTAGTGAGCTAAACTTTGTTAAAAATCTGTAAGATAGAAGAGGCACAAAAGACTTAACAATATGATGAATGTCATCTTTTCAATTTATACTCCATTAAACAAGTCCCATTAATTTTGTGAAACCTTTAGGACTACCGACAGTCAACGTGATAAAGAACACACAATAATACTTCCTTACCATTAATACCTAATTATCTAAACGCTCCATGTTTACTTTTATTCTCACACGTCTTACAATATTAAATTAATATTATATTAACACTAAATAGATGATATTGCAATATTAATATTACATTTATTACTACAAGAAACTGAATATCTCTTAATATCATTATATCAATATCACGATAATTAGTACTAATAATCAACATTAAAAATACAAAGTACAAAGTAAAAAACACAAAGTATATTCGCTTCTATAAACAAATCCCTCTTTCTAACGTTCATCCCGAAATCCCATGGAAAAATCTAGGAACGCAGAAAAACCCGGCTGGGTGTCGCGGTGGACCTTTCGAAGCCGCGTCTTGGCAGATGTACGACCATTTGCCGTGGCAGCTGCACTCCTCACCACCGTAAACCTCGAGCACCAGCCCCGACGCGACGTTCGATCTGACCTGACCCCCGAACTCGTCGCTTTCGGATGTTGGTATCGGTGCCAATGGATCGGATAGATTCTGTGGACGTGTCCCGATCGTATTAATTCGCTGGATCGGCCGTTCGAAACTCTGGCCGGATTTCTGTTAGTCCCCCAATCGCATAATCGCCAGGCAAACCGGTTTCACGCGGCTGCGAAGCTGAGTTTCTCGGACAAGGGGAGACGAACAGGCGCTGAGGAAGCTTGGCATGGCCCTGGCCGACGATCGAAGGGTAGGGAAAAGGTACCTGGGCCCTGACTCTGGCTATTACATTCGCGGCGTTACGCCGAGGAGTGGGGAATGACTCGTGCTCCGTACTTACTCAAATGGACGGAAAACAGGGACGATGGACTCGTCTCGACGCCAGAGAAAATTTTCTACCGGGGGCGAGGAATAAATTGGTACCCGTACGGATGTTGTAGGAATATTTAAAGACTTCTAGGCGTAAACTTTCCTTGGTTCTGAATAAGTTTTCAGTTGCCTGTAAACACGATAGGATTATTTATATAGGAATTTATTATTTAAACGTGATTTAAATTGTTCTGAGACTTTTAATGAATTGTTCGTTGAAATTTTTTAAGGGTGATTTTATTAGCTTTAGCAATATCATTCTGTACAATTTCAAAGTAATTTATGTGATACAATTAGTATTTAATTTTGGTCTAATGAGAATGTAATTGTTAAATGTGATTTACGAATAATTTATAGCAGGGAAATTTAATTGATTGTTGTATGGTTAGAGGTTTTAGAGGATTGATTGTTATGGTGGAAATATGAAATTTGGAGTAATTGGAATATAAGGTATATTGTATAATATATGTAACTTACATAACGTTCTTTTCATTTACTTCGCATTTTATTATGTGACAGAATAAAGCGAAATGAGCGGTCTTATGAAAGAACAGAAGCTTTAGTTATTACGAAAATTCAATTTTCTCCGAAGCCCTCCATTGTTCATGTAATTAAACGTAAAACGTCTCTCCTGACAAAATATGCTATACAAAATTCATTAAACCTTCTACAATAATTACTTCAAAATGAAAATTATTATTCCTTTCATTCTCAAAATATAATATGCGAAATAATATAATAATCTCATCGATTATTAAATTTCTTTATACCATGAATTCAATCCACAATAAAATTTATTTCATATATTTCTGAATATCCAAAGAATATATTTCTACCTAAAATTACAAATTGATTCCAATTATTCGTTACAAACATCCTTATGTTACTGCAATAAACGACAATATGTTCGATGCATCGATTTTACAATGCAAAATTCCAAAATGATAAACATGTTCCGATTCGGGAGGATGCAAAGGCACGTCCCCGTCGCTCAATTTGCTCATTAAGGACACAAAGCGATCGGAGTATACCGTTAAGTGCATGAAATTTCCGTGAAGGCAGAGGGCATGGCGGGCGCTGAATACACCCCTGGCGGGCCGGAGGACCTGGGTAGAGCGACCTGGGCCCGTTTGTACTACGGCATTCGCGTCTCGAGTGTTTCAGGGGGGGGTTCTTCAGTGTCGGCCTGCCGGAGTACCGGAAGATCGAGCGTGTGTCCTCGTCTCGCCAGGTTTTTACGTTGGCTTCAGTGAAAGTGGCCAGGCTTATCGGTGCAGTTTTCTTCGATCGGTACGAGAACGTGGCTCCTAGATATGGATAACGACGCGTCGTCGCCTACCCTTCGACCATCTTTCCTCCTCGATGAACTTCGCTAGACCGTACGCACATACGATTTCCATAACGTTGATCCGACCGTTGGAACCCGAAGCTATCGCTTCACCAGGTGGCGCGGAGTTCGTGCTCAGAAGGGGAAGAGAGCCGTTTTATTTAAACAATTACAGGTGTCCTCTCACCCATCATCGAGGAACCTTCAGTTTCATTGAATCTTCGTCAATTTGTAAAACTTACCGTGGGTTTCTCTAGTGAATCGAGATAAGGGTGCAGTTCCGCGCGGCTGAGGTTTCAAGGATTTCATAGAGCCTCCCAATGCTATTTCGAGGAAAATAAATTGATTAAAGTCCACAGAGGTTCTCGTGGATGATGTCGAGCCAGACGCGACAAATCAAACGTACATCGCAATTCCGGTGGGGTCGCCGGAAGTAGCTGAGCGTGACGGCGGCAATTCTAACGGAAAAACGTGGGAACTCGTAACTGTGGCTCTTCTATAGTGCATCATTAACGAATGCGCTTAAAACCAGCCGGTGGATTATCGTGTTGTGTCTTCGACAACGAAAACGTACGATTTCTACACCGAGTACACATCTTAATATCTCCTCGATATATCCTCATTCGAAAGCTGATCCATGATAAACAGAGACAAGTCGTAAAATCTTTTCTTTTCAGAGAAACCAAGAGTCTTATTTACCCCAAATAAAAAGGAAAGCATGAAGCTTTCCGTCTAAACGTGGCAAAATACGAAATCCTCCTTTGAACAACCTGTCGAAGTGTTTTCGCGCGAAACTGTTGCGTTCGATCCTTCGCGGATGGCGCTCGGCTCCTGAAGAAGGATCTTTCTCAAAGAATCCCTGGCGATGAAATAAAGGATACCCCATCGAAGCGACTCGCGGAACACCTGAAGTCTTGTCGTTAGAAGAAAGAAACGCGCGAAAGGGACGAAACGAGCTCCGAATCGGTAGTGCAGGCGCCATCGAAAGCGACACTCGAAGAGTCCCTCGTGGTTACAGCTGCGCTTGGCCCCGTGGAGGAGGCTCGGCTGTTCCGAGCGAATCCAAGATAGGATTCGTCATCGATTAAAAATAACGAACCCGACGCAGACACATCGACGTGCATCATCGGTGAAGAAGCGACGGCACGACGGCGGTGGCGGCGGCGGCTGTGGCTGCGGCGAGCGAATCGCGTGCGAGCTGATAGGACACGCTCCCCACTGTCGGCAGTAAGGTAGGCCACTGGTCGGCTGGTGCAAAGACGAACGCGAAACTGAAAGAGAATAGCTGGGATCCCACTCTAGGTAGAGTCCATGACGTCAACCTCTGGGGCAAGTCGAACGACCAGTTTGAACTGCTTGCTCGTGACAAGAAGGGAGGAGGAAAAGGAGGAGGTTGAGGAAGAAGAGGAAGAAGAGAAGAAGAAGAGTCAGCAGTGTGATCTCTTCGCCCGTTCGTCGATCCGATGCGTGTATATTTTTTACCGGTCGCCTTTAGTGAACGCTCCACTGCTCTGTTAAAACTATTTATTACTTACCTTGTTGAAATAATTTGATAAATCAATGGGAATAATGATCGAAGGATGAGAAGATGATCTAAAGAGAACTGAGAAGCAGGGAGGACACAGTGCTAGGTAGCGTGAATGGGTCGGCGCACCTGGTGTCGGTGATAAGCTGACGCGCACGGAGCTTGAGTCAGCTAGCGAAGCGCGTGGAAGCTCGCGATGGGACTCGGTGGTTCGGTGACGGCACCTTGGTCGATCGGGAAGCCCCCACAGTTATCCGCGTTCTCAGTGTTGCGCTTTTGCTCGAGCACCGCGGTATTACGGTGGGACGACGTGTGTTCCGCGTAACGAATAATTAAAAAACGTATCCATTAAATGCTAAATAAAATCGACAAGATATCGATAAGAAGTAAAATCATTAATAGTGCGTACTGATGTTTGTTGGTATACAAAGTATCACAATGGTCGTCGGGTAGTGTCGATATAAAGTTTTTCCGGAAAGGTGGCCAATAAGAGAAAAGCCGAATAGAAGAAGTAGATCGCAGAAAGTTTATGTGGACACGTTCAATGATACCGTCGCCGTGTATGGTGCACCAAGGGGAACAACCAAAGGCTCACTGTTTGGATACTTGACGCGGTCGCTACTGCGCGTCGTGAAAACATCGTTTTCATTGGAGAGAAATGGGAAACCACCCGTCCGCCCACCAGCCGCTCGAAAGAGCCACCAGTCATGCTGGAAATGGTCTTCGGCTCTCGGTACGTTGCGATCTTGTTTTACGTCAACGATAACTCTCGCAGATGCCCACGTGTGACGCACGCCTTCCGATGCAATATCGTTAAGTGGAGCGCACGCAGTTTCGCGATGGGCATCGCTTACCCTGCTCGCCTTTGAGCATTCCGAAACCGCCCTTTACGAGCTGTTTAACGGAGCCGCATTATTTCAACCGATATCGTCGCTGTTCTCTGCGTTCGTTGGTTTCGAATGTTTATGCTGGTCGGTTTTGTTAAAGAGAAATTTCACTTTTTTATATGTTTCGTAGTGTAACAGTAAGCGATTGTTGGTTTTTTCGAAATTTAATTTTGAAGACACTCAAAGTTTTAGCTTGAATCATATTCTGTACATTGATTGGGAAAGTTAGTGACCTTTTCGAATGAAATCATATCTATTTTTACGATATTAAAGATGTTTAAACGTATTTTTATGTAGTCTTTACATTGGACAATGTGCGATAGCTACAGCACACCTTTTTTAGAATATTTTTCAATTTAGTTTGAAAACTAGGAGTTTGAGATGAAATCTAATTATTCTACATGATGGAACAGACTTATTTTCCAAGGAAAATTTCTAACATAAATTTCTAAATTTTTCTAATAAATTTACAGCACAGAGTTTTGCACTGAAAAAAATGACATATTTTCGTGGTATACAAGACACCGTCAGAGGTTCTCAACATTAATAATCCAATGATCTCTTGACATTCCGCACAACGTGCGTGAACTGTTTCACTTCGTAATTCTATTAAACTGCTTTATAAGAGAAAGATCAATAATTTATTATCGTATTTTTAAAATGTATTATCAATATACATTATAAATGTATTATCTTATTTATAAAATACTTTATTTTATTTAAAAATATTAATGTCCAAATATTATTCATATTTCCTATCAAGATTTTCTTATAATAACAAAACTGCATTTTAGTAAAAACAGTATATCACTATACACGTAACTTATTGTTAAAACTTTGATATTAAGTAAGTAAAAATCTAACTTACAAGTGTTAGTCGTGAAGAAATCAATTATAAATATGTAAATTCTTTTTCTATCAGAAATAATTTCTAACTAATACACTCAATGGTAAATGAGGTTAGTATAATTCCCATGAAATAGAGGCATTGCGTTGAGGGAAACGTCGAGCGATCGCTATCATTGAGAATCACTGGCAGTAACTCATGTCTCGAGGAAATATTTTATTTTTTCAGTCGGAAGCGAAGTCAGTGCAGTAGCTATTTCTTTTAATGTTCAAAATAGGTGTGTCCTGTGTCATGGTGTAATTAAATTTTTTAAATGCAAGAATCATTTATTAACTATTGGAATACACAGGTGTATCACAAACCCTTCAACTTAAAAATTCTAAAACGAGAATAATCACTTTTAATGAATTATCTCGATAAAAGAAACAGTAAAAACATTATGAAATTGTTTTAAATCTAACAAGTTACATACATACGTTAAGTACACACCTATTGAATGTTCTAAGAAAAAAATTGCTTGTGTTAAATTAACGTGCAGTATTGTTTATGTCAATTTTTTAAACCACCTAATTATTCCACCACAGGCAATTTTAGAATTTATCGTATATGAGTTAATGTCTTTTTACTTCTGATTTGCTTCCGAGAATTTTCCGGCATTTGATATAAAGCTAAATTTTTTAACGCGTCCATGGATTAATTCCGTCCCCTTTTCGTGGTGGGCGGATTGGTATTTTTGTGGTTGGAATGAAACTGGTCCTCTAGAGGTCATGATGAAGGTCGTATCTTTTGAGCTTATCCTTCGTGTTTAAAGTCTTTTGTATTTTTGTTCGCGTACGCCCGTATTTATGTAGTCATCTTTCCGATAACGAATAGGCAAGTTATACGGCTTGAATACGTTTATTTAACGTCGTATACCGTATGTGCATTATCATGTAACAAACGTCTGTAGAGGAAATTTTAAAAATTGTACTCTAACAAAGAACGCAGGCTGGTCGACGCGACAGTTACTTATTCAACGTCTAACATTCTTTTTCTATTCTTTATTAGCATCCATTTCGTTTAACTCGTTTTCTATTTTTACGGTACTTACGTTCGTGAAGTTATTGCAAATGCAAACACAATATTTTCAGTACCATTTTATAAATTTTGTAACTATAAATTTCGAATACAATTTTACTTTTTTAGATACTTTTTTTATAATTGATAATTGAAAATGATAGTGACTAATTTTCCATTACCTCAGGTTGTGAATTGAAAATGATAATTTAAAATTTTAAATTGCCAACTGAAATTCAATAAATAATATCTAATTTGTTTGGAAAATCTTAAGTAACGAACTTTAAGAAACTGCTATTTTATTGTACAAAACAAAATATATTTTTCATTAGTTCTGTCATTTAATTCCCAATTTCAAATACTGTTTCAGAAAAGTATTTTAAGGTTCCTAAAACTTTCGGGTTCATGAGGGGTAGATCAGAAGAATGAAAGTAATATTTAAATACTTCGCAGCAATTATTTAACTCAATTAAAATCTTTTATACAAGTGTAAAAAGATAACATCTAATAAAAAATTTAATTCTTCCTCTGAGAGTTTACAGATATCAAGAATAAACTAAGAACTTTATTAAATCGTCGTTTAAAGTTTTCGAACTCTTTCGAAAGGTGTCATTATAAATGCATAAGCTCCATCGATCAATTACTATGCATCTGAACAAGGGTTTGCTTTTATCGTGTAATGGAAACAAAGGACTCTCATCAACATAACTTTCGTTGTTCTTTGATGTTGTTTGATCAAACTGATAGGCTGATGCAGGAACACATTCCTGATTGCAAATAGGTACGCAGTTTCATGAGTTTTTTGGAACGCTACACGTTCGTTATTTGTAATCAGGACAGCCAGATATCCGAGAATTCTTACGGAATTCATCTAATGTATTCCTAGTGCTCCACCGATGGGTTTGCATAACCGATCTTTGTCTTGAAGGTGAAATCTGACGCACGGTGTCGCCAACTGTGAAACCATCGCCGACGAGAAAAGCGCGTAAAATGCAACTTTCGGTGTTTATGTTTCGATAGCTACCTGACTCCAGCACGTGCTTTTGTTACGCGTCGCGTAATACCGTTAACAGACTCCTTTTTCTAAACACTCAAGGCCACATGATATACATTGCTGATCATTCGTTTGCGTAACCGACGTCCTGATTGATTATTATTTAAATATTATTACCAAACTATGTTTGTATATGAATTTTAGTATCTGTGTGTTCAGATCGAATGGTCTTATTTAACTGTAGGACTCATATTATTTTTCCTTCAGTACGGTTATCAACACGCTACTTATGAGTTTGGTAATCGTGGATTACAATCGATGAATTTCTAGTAATGTGATAATTGAGTATATAAATTCTAAATTAAACAAATTTTTAAGTACATATTGTAAAATAATTTTATCTATAACAAGCATTAGTGCAATTGTACTGAATGCAGAAACTATATTACTATTGAAATGTTTGAGGTTATATCCCGTAAGGAATAGTTTGAACGTGTTTTTGTATAATTTTAGGATTTATTGAATTTAGAATGATGTCTATAATTTAATCGTATTTCATTTTCTTAAATTTCTTCTATTTCTGTTTACGTTTGAAGCAGTGTAATCGACGTGAACTAACAATTTGAGGAAGAATGTAAAAATTTCAAAATGGTGGTATTCTATGCGTTCGCTGCCATTTTGAACGGCTAGCCGAACAGCTTTGAAATGGTAGTCTATTCACGTATAAAATATTCAATTATTCATGAATTCATTTGGTAGTTAATTCTTGATTCTATTTCCAATGAATGTATTGAACATACTAAATATGCTAAAAGAAAGAAATAAATTCTGGGTAGGACCTCAAAATATTGATATGAAGTCTCGAAAGTATATTGAATTTAATGAATAGTATTACCATTACGCATCTGTTACAATGTTTCGGATAGGTAGTTGACAGTTTATTTACTGGCTAGGTTAGGTCGAAGACTGTTCATTTACCAAAGCAATCTCCTCGCTCCGCTAGAGTAATTTCACAAACTAATAGCTTGCATCATTCCATTTTGCTTTTAGGAAAATTAAATTCCGATTACATCAGCTGTTAAAATAATAAAAACATTAAAATATAGCATTCGTGGCGCATAAAATACTTTCTAAACATCAAATTGGCGTTTTAAGTGTTTTTCTCGGGAAATATACATAGGCATGTGGTTTGGCCAATACATAATTTACATTTCTTCTTGAATGAATGAAAAAATCTTTTTTATTATTATTGATATACTAATATATTCATTTGTAGATATTTATCGTAACAGGAAATCAAAATACATGTTGCGCTTGCAAGGAATTTTCGTTCGATTTTCCTACACAATCTTAACATTTTTAAAATTTTATGAATACTATTGCTGCAATTGACTCCAGACTATCGTAAATAAATAACAATATTACACTAACATGTCTACCTATATAGTTTCAACTAAATGTTTCTGTGGCAATATATTTTTTAATTAAAATTTTTAATACTACATAGAAAGTTAAACTTCTTATACTATTTAAACGTAGTTTCTGATCTTTAGTATTATAATTATACGATTTTCTGAAATTTGTGTGCTTCAGCGATAAAATTTTACTCATTCTGTCAAACATAAATTCCTTTGAGTTTCGAATTAGATCGAGTTTGAGCGATTAATTTTCTATTTTTCTCATTTTGGAGGTTATAATTCCGGTAATGCGTATCCCAATATGATTACGCCTGTATCGGTAGAAAGCGTTATGATGATTGAGAGAAAGCAACCAGGTTCTCGAGACGTTGTTCAAGTGTGTCGGCCATTCGGATGTTGGCTGAAGCCATACGGGTGCGTTTCAATGAGAAATGCGGCGACCATTAAAGCAACCCCCGATCGAGGTCCTTGTAACCAGAATCAGTCGCAATTTTCATCAGTCCGAAGGTTTATTGCTTTTTACATAATTAT